TGACTCCCAGTTCCGTGGTGATGTCCCAGTTGACTCCCAGTTCCGTGGTGATGTCCCAGATGTCTCCCTATCCTTACTCTAACCCTGATTCTGAGCCTGAAGCTGAACCTGAAACTGAACCTCATCCTCACCCTGAACCTGAACCTAATCCTGTGCCTGTTCCCGAGCCTAAACGAAGACCTACAAAGGCGGAACTAGATTTAGAATTGAGGGAAATTATGAAAATGATGCAAATGTAATGCTATATCTTGTAATGTAATGTAAACCTGTTTAAATCTTTAAATGGATTAGCATAAAATAAATATTTAGATCTCAAAAAGATATTAAATTTTAATCCATAATTGTTTTAAAGTTTTTAACATTTTCAAGATACACAAAAAACCGCTGAATGTTAATGGTATTCTTGTTTCTTAGCACAAAGGGGTGTCTAGAAATTATTTCTTATTGTAAAATCATTAGATAAGATTAGATATTTAATGTTCTTCCAACTTCCTAAAAACTCTCAAATATCTGTTATAATACATAATTAAATTAAACTAGTTCTGGGCGCCCCTCCTTTTCTTTATAGCAAATTTAGTCTTTAAATATTGCTCTTCAAGAGCCGTTTTTTCTTCCTAATTATCCTGTTTAAATTGGTGCATTTAAAAAAAAATGTTGATATTTTTTTCTGCGTCAAATTTTTGAAATTCTCTGGGGTCTTGTGAGTTGCCATTAAAAAAAACTTGGTCCTGATCTGTTACAATCAGACATACACACAATTACAGACAACCAAAGTTCATATCAAGAAGTTAACTTTGCATTATTTAGAAATAGGAAAGGAATTGAGTCTTTGTAACAAACTCTAATTTTTCTAATCCCTTTATCATAGCAATATACAATGTCGTTTGCCTTAGATATTTCAAACTTTAAATTCTTTTACAGCAAATTATTAAAAAATGAAATATTAATGGTCAACACCACCAGGTTTTAGACATATAAAATTTAGCGTTATTGGTTTAAGCATATTTGAGCTTATCGAGTAGTGTGACCATTTATTTGTAGAGTATCATTCTCTTTTATCTGATCAAGTAAGAATTAGATATCCATGATTAAAATTTTGAAAACTAATTATTTTTTGAAAAGTTATACAATCTATTCTCCTTTCTCAATGCAATAGTAAAAGTTCTAAGTTTTAAGTTCTACAGGTTGTGTCAGAAAATATACTACTGTCCGAAAAACAAATGAACGATTACGATTGTCTAGTATTTCGTGGATTTCTACAGCAAAAAATCAGCTGAAGCACTTTTTAATTGAAGAATCATTAGGAAACAATTTCCGTTTGAAATGCAGAAATAACATTTTTTAAATATCTGTCTTAAATTATTTGTAAAAAAATATTATTAAATATTATGAACACAATTTTTTTATTTTTCTGTGACACCCTGTGTAAACTTTGTTTTGCTCCAAGGTTAAACTTATTCCAATATTTCTTCAGGTTTAGTTCAGGGATTTCCCAAGAGATATTCAACCAACCAAAACAATACAGAATATTCCTTAGGGTTAGATATATTTAAAGAGAAGGATGACGAAATTTTAAGCAACGCCTCATATTTAGAGTTGCATATTCGATTCACAATGGTATCTTTTCAGTGTTGAGTTTCAACAATTTCCTTCATTATTCGTCTTAACTGCAGAAACCCCGAAGCCAATTTTACAGAAAACCCACAATCGATAATTGTAAATTGTCAGGTAGCAAAGAAAGAATAACATTAACAAAATCTATATTTATAGAAAGTTGTTTATTAAATCTATTTCCACAAAAACCTCTAATATTGCGCATAATTAGGATAGTTTATATATTCGATCCCGCTAATTTTACAATTCTACAGTTTACTGGAAAACTACTCCACTGCGATTTCGGTCTCTTCTTTAGAAATGTAATATTTGATTTCACTAGACACAAGTAAGGATTGTAAAGAAAATTTTGTTGTTGGGATTTTACCATAGAGAATAGAATATATATTAGAGGGGAATTTACTCGATAAAAGTATAAAACGGCCATTTTGTTGTACTGTTTCCATACTGCAGGTGTACTTAACATATTTGTGCTATATAACCTTTTGGGCCCTGGAACATCATTTTATAGAAAATCTAAAATTAATATTAAAAGAAAGCCAAATTATGAAATAGGCTGGTTTTATCATTGACCAATGATCATTTCACATAGACTCCATGCCTTTCACTTTACTAACGATGATTTTCCGTTATAACTATAAATTAAATGATGTTTTTTATTCACCTAATTCATTTTATAAAGTTTATTTAACAGCTTAAAAAAATTCGAAATTGAAATGGATAGTCTAGGGAACATACTGTATTAATGAACTCTACTGCATATAATTTGTGAACATTTACATGATTTGTACACTTTGAACTCCCTTTCAGGCTGAAAGGGACTGAAAAAATTCATACCGAGAGATTGTCTAAATTCCCCTCTAATATATATTCTATTCTCTATGGATTTAACCCAGACTCGTAGATATTAAAGATGCTAGGTAGATTGATTGATTGATTGTCCAGTCAATGAACTCTACTGTCTGCTAACCAATGACCAATGACTATAACACTATTCAGTATTCAACCTTCAATTGCATTTAAATAATATTATTATAATAGATAAGCTGTCCTAGAGTATAGGTTAGAGATGATATATGTACTGCCAGACCTTAGAGTAGTACTTATGGATAGAGCAAGTATAAATACAGTTCTGAAAATATGTAAGAGAGACAAGTTCCCCGTTTATAATATATAAATTTGTAATCAAAGAACAACATTTATTCTTTATAATTTTATTTTACTTTACCATAAATGTAAAATTATATGATGTCATGAATTCATTTGCGTACATTATTCCTCTATTTACTATACCACTCTAAGGATGGTTTACTCTATATACGCATAATATACGCAATATATAAGGTTGGGTAACGCATTTCACAAATTATATATTCAATATCAACAATATAACAATAAGTATTGTTGCAAGATAGATATCTTGGGAAATACGAGGAATATGACGATAGAAAGATAGACAGATATAGATAGATAGATAGATAGATAGATAGATAGATAGATAGATAGATAGATAGATAGATAGATAGATAGATAGATAGATAGATAGATAGATAGACAGATAGATAGATAGATACTTTGTTAAAAATAGGTTTTAGTTAAAAATGACAACAACAAAAAACGGATAAGTTTAGTTCAATAATAAAGAAAAATTGCTGGATCTGCTCATATGACAAGCTTGGTTGATAGTTGAAACGTATACACAAGCAAGCTGAGAGTAGAATCATAATAATGTGTTAAGTCGTCTATTGAATTCCCTTTAAGGAGACTTTAAAATCACGATTTTCTGAATCCCTTATATATCATATACTCATTCTCTCGAATAAATATATTTAAAATCAATGAAAAAACAGTTATAAAAATGTTTGATTTAAAAAAACGAACCGAACACGTGCTACTTACTCTTAATTTCTAATTTTAGATGCAGTATATTTGATTTTGAACCCTTGATCACCATAATCAATTTTTCTACTTTTAGATTTTAGGATAAATCAATTTAAGCTATCCCTGCAGGGTGTGACCAAAACAGGATTCTAAAGAGGAATTAAATTAATTTTATAAAACACAAAATACTGAAACCATTTAATTTATTTGATAATATCAATTATATACAATAAAAAATGACGGACCTTTTAATTTACCTAGTTTTACGCTCTATTCAACAAAATAAGAAATTCAATAAATAATTCAGAGAAAAAAAGAAACGGAAATTTTGCCGAGTAGACTACAGTTTGTAAAGATATTTAACCCTCGTAAAAAGTGAGTCTTCAATTTATAACATTGCCCGAACTTCCGAAGCTTCTCAAAAAATTTAAAGATTTGTACAAACGTTTAAATCTGAACTACTTTAACCCTTGCACGGTACGTATAGATATGTTTTTATAAATGCTAAACTTGGTTGCCAAACTAGGGAAAACATTGCTTTTATCTTTATCAAAATTCACTTTATTTTACAAACTTGATTCATGGAACTTTTAAGAATCCTCTTCCTCTTTCACGGTATTGAGTTCAACAGCTGTTGAATCAGCTGATTTTTCGGCCTTTGAATTAGTTTCACTCGGTGGCTGAGGCGGCTTTTCAGCCTTGCCATTCACTTGCTTCTCAGGAGATTTTGAATTAGAGCGTCCATTAGGTTTCTCTTGTTTACGAGATCGATCAATTTTTGGTAGATTTCTGACCCCAGCTGTTTTACGTTGTGTACCTAGCTTTCGATCCATTTTCGTTGTTGGGCCATTTTCTGCTCCACGTTTAGATGGGGACTTAGATGTACCGTTCTCTGATCTAACTCTTCTAGTGGGAGAAATCGATGGGGATCTGTTTGAAGTCTTTCTTGTTGGTGATGGCGCATTTTTTCTAAAAATAATAAAAATTATATTTTTATATATTTTTGCCTGCTTTATTATAAAGCAATCGCATAAACTTATACTTTCCTAAAAAGTTGTAAAAATTTTTATCTAAGAGACTTTCATAACAAAAACGGAAAGTGCTTTGAGTTTGTTTAAAAATAAAAATTTAGAATAATATGAGCTACCTATTAAAAGTTGGTGATGTTGAAAGTTTTCTTGAAGGAGGTGGTGAATTAATAAGCTCAGAGTGTTTACGACTCATTGGGTAGGAACCAGACATCCATCCTCCAGGTGTTGAACTCTCTGTGCTCAATCCACTGTAAAATATATCATGTTTTAGCCTTCTACAAAAATTAAGTGGTATAAATTAAATAGTCTTTCAGAGCAAAGACCTTATAAAAGATTAACAAAGTTAAGCTCATTTGCCATTAATTTTCATCCACCGAACGAGTTATACTTGGATTATTCAAAGTTTCATTATGATTGGAACTTTTGAAAATAAAAAGAACCAAATAAATTAAAAATTGGTAAACCGAACTGAAAGTTCACTTTTTAATTTAAAACAGAGATTACATTTTTACTTTTTTTTAAATTTTTGAAATTAAATTTTAACAATTTTTTTTTAAAGAGCAGTGAAATTATTCTTTGGCTGTTCTATCTAGGGCTGGTCACGTTCCAACTTTTTCTAGCCGTTTCGTTAACGGTTAGTTCCAACTGTTAAAAAATAAAAATTTCAGTTAGTGGTTGATTTTAAAGGTAAGAACGTTAGTTACCGTTTATAGTTAACAATCTCAGTTTTATTAACGGCGTTAACAGAAAATGTTCAATAATTGTAATGGCTCAAGCCGTTAATGGTACTGTTATTACAAAATTAACGGCGTATACAGCACAAAGCGCTAAAAAAATTGTTAACGGCACAGTCATTTACGGTATATTAAAGTATTAACGGCATTAACGGCGAAAGAAATATCGTTAACGGTTTATAAACAAAGAAGACGACATTTACAGACAAAAATCTTTTTCGTTTTCATACCGAAACGATTGTTTTTCAAAAAAAGAAATCGTTAACATCCCTTACACTGAAATAGAAATTACTTAAAACCCGTAAATTATTGCTATTTTTCTTAAATGGATTAAAAATGTAGTAACATGTCCAATGCGTAAACTTCATCACAATTCACGATCCAAAGCACCACCAGCTCAATTATATATTTTATTTAATTTTGATGGAATTTATCACACCTAATATTTCCCGTTGTTGGGTGATTAAATGACTTTATCGCCCTACAACAGGGCGAAAAAGTAACTTTTTCACCCTGCTATCAAAAATTCAAATTTCATACCTAATTTGTCTCATTATAGGGTGTTAAAGTTACTTAATCACCCTACAATAGGGTGATTAAGTAACTTTATCGACATGCTTTTAGATAATTTAAGTAAAACTGAATAAAACTATATATGTAATTGAAATGGGTATGATGCGTGCGAAACAGTTTTTGCTGTGATTTTAATAATACCCATCACAATGACATAAATAGATATATTCTTATCTAATGTATATATTCAATTTAATTAAAATTTTAATTCTTTAGTTTTTATTTGGACCTGAAAGGAGCAGGGGGGGTCTCCTTGAGGTTTGACCCACTACCCGGAAGTCCAGGTAGAGGAACTCCTAGCTGTGCTCCATGCCGCTGTAGTTGATCAAGGGTTCGAACCAAACTTTTCACCTGGAAAGAGGGCAATAGCTAATGAGTAGTGCCGGGCAAAGTTCAATTAACAAATAGCAGATTTTTTAAATTTAACCTTTGTGGAAAAATGAAAATAATTGTTCAGGTTAAATTAAATGAAAATAACCGAATGTTTATAAAAAGTTCCGTAACAAAGTTTTTGAAAAAACATTAAGGGAATGTTGCCGTAATTTTTATTTCCATTTAAAAAGTAGCTTGTGCGATTCACAACGATGCATTTAATCCTAAATCTCATTAACGCGGGGGATGATCTCATCTTCAAATTTTTTTAATTTCCGAAAAAATCAACAAACCAAAATTTAAATTGATCTTTTTTTTGCTGAAATATTAATAATTTATTTTTCCTTTATCACTGCAGGAAAGTGTTTAAGTCCACTTGAATTTAGTCCTGCAGCCCCAGAAAGGGATGTTTTTAAGTGAACTTCCATTTAAAAACATCCCGATTCACAACGGTACCCTTGTAATTGTTGACCCTCTTTAAATAAGAATAAGGCTTACAGAAAATTTTGTTGCTAATGGTAAATCGCCTGTAAATTTAATAAGAGCCAATTACAACTTGATTTCTCCATTCATAACGGTAATTTAACTAATCTTTATCGAACAAGCTGAAAATATTCCTAATGTTCCACAAAAGTGGCAGCAATGAGTGTTTTCACTTTCATATTGTAAAGAAAAAGAGTTTTGTCAAGGTTGCACTATGTAAAAGTATAATAATGATTAGAACCATTCAATACATTTTCCTAACCACAGAAATAACTTTACAACAAACTATCTAAAGTAATAAGAGCAACCAGAAAACAAACAAAAAACAAAAAACGTGTAAATATATCAATTATAAAATCAAGAAAAATATGGAAACATTGCCGCCCCCCCCCCTCCTTCGTATTAATCAATCAATCAATATTGATTCTACATCAATAAGACGTAAGCGTACATTTTGTAATTGTAATGCCCGATTCACAACCGTACACTAAAAAGCTTTGTCTGATCAAGACTGAAAATAAATATCAATGTTTATAATTGATTGAGAAATATTTTTTTTTCATTTGTGGTCACAGTGATTCAAAGGTTGCCAGCTCTTACACTAAAATCGTTGAAAATTTTGCCGATAACTTCTTCAAAACAAATGCAAGCGGAAAAGGACCAAAATGAAAAGTTATCAATTTTATAATAGAGCAAAGATCTGTAAATATGGGGAAAATATGCAAACAGTCCCTTTACGCTCAACGTAGTTAAGACTTAGACCCCCTATTATTTTTCGTGAACATCCCCTATATCCTACCTCAGCTCTGTACATTTGAGCAAAATCTTCATAATGATGAAACTCTTTTCCTTCCTTATCCAGTCTATATTCTACATCTATTATATCCGACCTAAAACATTATATATTCATGATGCTTCTTGTCCAGTCTATATTCTACATCTATTATATCCGACCTAAAACATTATATATTCATGCTGCTTCTTATCCAGTCTATATTCTACATCTATTACATCTGACCTAAAACATTATTTATTCATGATGCTTCTTGTCTAGTCTATATTCTACATCTATTATATCTGACCTAAAACAAGATTGTTTATTTAGTCATGATATATACTCCTTAATAACCAGCTAAAATTCTAGAACATGAAGTCGATATTAGAATTAAGTTATGACTTTAAATAGTCCATGAACATGTTGCACAGCAATTGTGCAGTTTAAACAGATTCCTTTCACTTAATACGTGATTTAACAAGGTAATTAAATATAGTAAGTAAACAGTAAACAAATAATTTTGTAACAAAAAGAAAAATGTAGGTGCATTTGTAAAATACGAATTTCCTCTTTTTGGACAACTTTGATTTATGTTGATTTTTTATGGTTATGGAAGGTTTTGTTTTGACACATTAAGATTATGTTTTTGCAGAGTCGTCTGAAATGAAAAAAATCACGAAATATGCTTGTCCTAATATACCTTAGATCATTTCTAGTTTTCTCTAACTGTGATACAAGACGTTTAAGTTCTGTTTCACTCAGCTTATCCCAGTCCAGGAGCATATCAGGGATAGGATTTATTTTATCATTCTGGATCTTCTGCTTTATCTAGATCAATTTCCATTATAAAGTTTCATAAAAAACTGGAGAGTTTATAATTTCCATTATAAAAATTCATAAAAAAAACTGGAGAGTTTATAATTTCCATTGTAAAGTTTCATAAAAAAACTAGAGTTTATAATTTCCATTATAAAGTTTAATAAAAAAACTAGAGTTTATAATTTCCATTATAAAGTTTATTAAAAAAACTAGAGTTTATAATTTCCATTGTAAAGTTTCATAAAAAAACTAGAGTTTATAATTTCCATTAAAAAGTTTCATATTAAAAGCTAAGACGAAGGTTTAAAATTCGCTGTTGTACATAGGGCATTCAACTGTTTATTCTGAACTTGAAATATCGTCAATAATCCTTGTAAGAAGTAACGATAAGTTTCTATTAAATCTGTCTATCTATTAAAAATTCTACCTCCTCTAGCTCATGTTCTAGCCATTTCTTTTGTTCAATCAGCTGAAGATTAATCTGCATTTGTCCATCATATTTCTGCTTTATCTCACTATCATCGGATTCAAAATTTCCTAAATATTAATACGATATCAAATAGTTTCAATTTTAATCCAGAAGGGTGACAGGATTCTGTTATTGTATTATTTTCTATCTATCATAAATTAAAAATAAAATATTTAAAAAATGATTAGTGTTTACTCGCCTCAAATCTAATTTCATAATGCCTATATATCTTAGTAACTAAATGGTGTAAAACTTTGATATTTTAACCCTATCCCTGCTGGGGTACTCGGAAACCAGGATATGCTGGGGGGGGGGCAATTTGACCCCCCCCCTCTAAATCCCATATGATACATGATTAGAAAGCTCTTGTGCTCTACTTTTAGAATCTGCAAAAAAAAATTAAATTTGCAAAAATTGAATTTTTTTATCGCAAAATCCAGTTATATAGTAAAAATGTTTGCAAAATAAAAATTTGTCCAAAAAATGAAAAATTATACATTTTTGAAAAGCCCTTGACCATGCCATTTCAAATATGCAAAAAAATTTGCAAAATTTTAAATAACATGATTGTTAAAATTCCAGTGCTCCATCTAAAAGAGTTCCTATAGAGTATTGTCAGGGAGTAAGAAATAGAAGGGAGATACAACTGACGCTGTTCTCCATATGATTATACATGCTTTGCAAACGGGTACTCCATTTGTATAAGAAATATTCAGAATAGGTTATTGTATACGCGGTAATTGTTCATCAGACAAATATTTCTTTTTCAAATGAAGTACCGTCTGCAAAGCATATATGATCATATGGTAGGGCGAACCGCGTCAGTTATATCTCCCTATTAGTCCTTACTCCCTGGTTATTGTCCTTGACATCAGATTAGACAATTAGAGTTTAAAGCAAAAGTTTAGTTCTTTTCTGCAGAAATATACAATTTTTTTGCACAAACAGTTTTTTGATATGCCCCTATGCAAATTTTAAGTTTTTTTCTCATTATAGGAAACTGTTTTCTCAAGGTTAAAAAGTGCGCGAAGTCCACCCCAAAACTTGCTCTAACCGTTAAAAAACTCTTCTCTATATGACCTGAACACAACTAACCTTGTTTTTGTATTGAACACTGTTGTCCATGACCTGAACACAACTAACCTAGCTCTAGCTGTTGAACACTCTTCTCCATGACCTGAACACAACTAACCTTGTTTTTGTATTGAACACTGTTGTCCATGACCTGAACACAACTAACCTAGCTCTAGTTGTTGAACACTCTTCTCCATGACCTAAACACAACTAACCTTGTTCTTGTATTGAACACTCTTCTCCATGACTTAAACAGAACTCACCTTGTTCTAGTTGTTGAACACTCTTCTCCATGACCTGAACACAACTAACCTTGTTCTAGTTGTTGAACACTCTTCTCCATGACCTGAACACAACTAACCTTGTTCTAGTTGTTGAACACTCTTCTCCATGACTCGAACAGATCTCTCTAACTCCATATTTGTCCACTCCATGGTATCTCTAGCTCGTGTCTCCGCCTCTATCTCCGCCTTCATCCGAGCAATCTCCTTCTCAGCATCTGCCCCGGTATCTCCGCCAACCCCGACCTTGAATAATAAATTTTCTCGAATCTCAATTTGTAAACTAAACCCGAAGAACGCAGCCTAAAAAGATAAAAAAAGGCACTTCAAACTAGCCCCTAATCTCTATATCTTTGCAACTTGATAGTGTAAACCTTTAATATTTAAACCTTGTCTGTTTTATCAGCAGAATTCTTGATTGAAATATCACAGGTCTAAATCATCTGTTTGAAAACAAGTGGGATTAGAAAATACGAGTTTGTAATAAGTATGCAGCAATTCATTTAACAAACGCTATGTGAACAACAACGATATAATTTATATAAATAAATATTATGGAACCCAATATAAAGTTAAATATACACATTCTGATGCAAGCAATTGATTAGAATTTTGCCCACAAAAAAAACACTTAAAAAGTTAAGCTAGATATGCTCTTAATAATTCATTAATATGGGAATGCCAGATATAGTCATTGGTTCAAAGATCGTGAAAGGTTGGTGAACAAGCAAATTGTATTTATGACTGAACATATCAGGTTTCTCAGTTCAAGGTGTCCCAAAAATAAACTGTTTACAAGACATACAGTGTGTCCAACTAATCATGGGACACATCAAATTATTATGTTCGTTCGGATCCTCTAGAGACTCGATCTCAAAATATTAAATAAAATTTCTATGCAAAACTTTTTTTTCAAACAGTTGGAATTGGGCCATGTATTACAACTCCCCATATCTTAACCTGCTGAGAGAAGGGGGGCAATTTGACCCCCCCCCCTCAGTAGTTTTTTTTTTACATAACTCAAAAAGTATTGGTCTGAGGCTGTTGAAGTGTTCTGAATGATTACTTTTTCCTGTAACAAACTAAATCTTTGTTTTTACAAAGGATGTAATGTCAGGAAAGTTATTTCAGAAGTGTACACATCTTTTGTACTGCAGTGTACTGTCTCTGGGCGGTAATGTAAACACAAGACGGATGTCAAAAGCCTGACATGGGATCCATCTTTCACATAAATAATCGATGAAATATTCTGGTCATAGGAAACTATTAGGTGAATTATCAAAATTATCAAAATTTAATGCTTTTAACCTCCTCGGATACTAAACGAATACTGATGCATCTTTTCTTGTTAACAAATTCCGCCCAGAGTATACACGACCGCAATTAACTTTCCTTGCATTACACCCTTGGTTTTTACTCACTTTCAGTTGTCAGATTTCAATTTTGATTTATTTTTTTGGAAAGCCTATGACATAAGGAAATGAATCTCACAAGTTTAAAAAAAAATTTGCAAATTATTAGCATACACCATTACAACCGGCCCGTCAAAAGAAATTTGCACAGTTTTAGTTTTTCTTAATTATAATTTTTTAACAAAACTTTCAATTTTTGCAAATTTCCAATTTTGGCAGATTTTAAAAGTAAAGCATAAGAGCTTTCCAATGATGTATCACTTGTCATATTTAGACACACATGGGATTTAGAGGCCCCCCCCCCACACCCGCGTATCCTGGTTTTCAAGCACCCCAGAAGAGATAGGGTTAACTCTAAGGGCGAGGTCAAGGGAGGTTCCTACCTATATTATACAAAAACAGCATAACCAGGATAGGGTTAGTGGTGCTTGTAGCTATTTTTTCCGTATAAGAAAAGAAAAATATACCCTATCCGTATGTCAATAACATTAAAAGTAAAATTGAAAGCAATATGTCAGCTTTCTAGTTTTTGAATTAAATTGTTCTGATTCTAAGACTATATACAACTAGCCCAAATAGAAAGGCTCTGATAAAAAGTTCATTGAGAAGTCCATTTAGAACACATTTTTAATCATTGTAGCGACCAATAAAGGAACAAAATAAACGAACTGAGATATATATTGAAGTCTAAGTTACAACATGGGTTTAAGGTGCTATCAAATATAATAGGTTTGGTTGGTTGAGCTTCCGGACTGGAAGACGATATCTACGGATCTCCACAGGGGTCCCCCCAGCATTGAGGTGATGAAGTTTATGAGGAACTTGATGCTTATTTCGAACTTCTCTTCGAGGGTTCCGACGAAAAAGGAGAGGAGTAGACTGCTGAGGTGAGAATAGCACTTGCTTAGAGGTATTAGAGAGGTTGGAGTCAATGGAGCCAGATTCAATGGAGCCGAAATCAACGGAGCCGGAGTCAACGGAGCCGGAGTCAATGGAGCCGGAGTTGACGAAGCCGAAATCAACGGAGCCGGAGTCAATGGAGCCAGAGTCAACAGAGCCAGAGTCATTGGAGCCAGAGTCAACAGAGCCAGAGTCATTGGAGCCGGAGTCAAAGGAGCCGAAGTCAACGCAGCCAGAGTCAACAGAGCCGGCGTCAATGGAGTCGGAGTCAACAGAGCCAGAGTCATTGGAGCTGGAGTAAAAGGAGCCGGAGTCAACGGAGCCAGAGTCTACCGAGCCGTAGTCAATGGAGTCAGTGTCAATGGAGCTGGAGTAAATGGAGATGGAATCAACGGAGCCGGAGCCAATAGAAGTCGGGGAGGTTGTTGAGAGATTAAAGGTTGATCAGAGAAAACTGGTATAAGCCAGTCCACGAAAATGGAGTCAGGCTTGGAACCTATTTGAACGAGGAAGTACTTTGGATTCCGGGAGAGAACTAGGTAGGGTTCTCCGTACAGCAGAGAAAGCAGTGGTTTAGATGAATCTTCCCTGATGAAAACAGGAGAGCAGGAGGTTAGACTGGAAGGATTCTGGTCTGGTTTCAGAGCTTCAGAGCTTCAGAGGCGGAATCCTCTTTGGGAACACTCCAGAGACCAAGTAACACCAGGGGTAGATGATTGAACCAGTATGTTCCAGACAATCTAGCGCTCAGAGACACTTTGAGACCACAGTGGAACCTCTACACCAGGCCATTGGACTGTGGATGGAAAGATGTGGTTGGAGAGTGTATGATTCCAAGGAACCTGCAAAGATTAATCCAGATAGAGGTCGTGAACTGTGCTCACGGATGAAACTCCAAAGGTTGCGATCCAGGATTGAAATAAAACCTTGGCACATTCTTCTGCTGTTGTAGACTGGAGAAAAATTGCTTCCGGCTATCTACTTGTTCCATCAACGATGGTGAACATCTGATCCATATACCTCTGGAAGGTACATCTACTGTTCCTGAGGCCGAATGGCATCCTCAACCGCTCAAAAAGGCCGAAAGACGTAATTACTGCAGTCTAATGAATGTCTCCAGTAGACATTGGAACCTGGCGGGCTTTTAAAGAGAAAATACATTTTTGTCGGAAAATCCGAGGTTTAGAATAAATTCAGGGTTGTCTCGATAAAAAACATGTAAAACAACATTCATAACCTTATCTTTCTGAAAGACCTTGAAATTAATTGTCTTAAAACTCAAATTCTTTAGCGAAATTTTATTTCATAAACGATCGTTTTTTAAAAATACGATAGTTTTTAAAAACACTTGCTTTCAAAAACGATTTTTTTATTTTTAAAAAAACAAATCATTTTATAAAAACTATCGTTTTAGGTTTTTTTGAAAGTTCAAAACGAGTGGTTTGTTTTCAAAAACGATAAGTTTTTTTCTGAAAACGAAACGTTTGTTTTTAGAAAATAATTTAAACGAAACTAAAAAGATTCGTTTTTTTGATCGTTTTTTAAAACGATTAACAATCCTACATATATACAAAATTCGTTAATATGAAATTTGAGCTAAATTTGACGACGGTCTCAGACTTTCTTGTCCTCGATCTTGTGCAACAGTAGTTACATTATTCATAAAACTAAATTTTCGAATAATATAATGTTTTTTATGTTCATTTCATATTTAGTTATTTTATCAAATTTGTTTTTACCTTTGGCCCCGTACTCTTCTTTTTCTGTTTACTCATTTTTCTATTCTTTCAATTATCACTTTCATACACTGCACTACACAACTTTTCGAGTTTAAGTGTTTTACATTTTTTTCTGCAAGTCAGACTTCAGGAAACATTTATTTTTGAAAGGAGTTTTCTGAAATCAAGAAAAAAAAGGAAAAAATAAAAAAGGTTTCTATCTTTATTTTCCTTACTATATTTACTATAATTACTATCCTTGCACTTTTCCTTAAATATATTTACTATACTTAAATCCCTTCTTTTTGCAAACTGGAAAGTAAATATCAGATATATATATTTATATATTATAAAAGAAATAATTCCTGTGTGCTGAAAATTGGGAACATTTTTTGTGATCTTTAAAAATTCGTCATCCATACTAATACTACATTATATAGTTATCTTTTTTTAAAAATCAACTAAACAATATATATTTGAATTTGCTAGCCAATTCTCCCGAGTTAAAGCTTAAACCCAATTTTTCAAAATAACAATAAAATTTCATCTTAATAAATCCAGTTATAGAATAATAGAAATTGGATCCCTAATAACCAACTCAGATACCCTAGAACTGTAATATATCCCTGATATCCAACTCAGATACCCTAGAACTGAAATGTATCCCTGATATCCAACTAAGATACCCTAGAACTGTGATGTATCCCTGATATCCATCTAAGATACCTTAGAACTGTAATGTATCCCTGATATCCAACTAAGATACCCTAGAACTGAAATGTATCCCTGATATCCAACTAAGATACCCTAGAACTGAAATGTATCCCTGATATCCATCTAAGATACCCTAGAACTGAAATGTATCCCTGATATCCAACTCAGATACCCTAGAACTGAAATGTATCCCTGATATCCAACTAAGATACCCTAGAACTGTAATGTATCCCTGATATCCAACTAAGATACCCTAGAACTGAAATGTATCCCTACTAGATATTCCAGTAACCATGGATACCATGGATACTATACAACTAAACAACATTTACAGGGATTCATCGCATACAATATAGATTTACAATAAGTCAGCAAACTTTCAATAAATGCTCGAATTATAAAGTACAAAAACTAAATTTAAACTCATCTTTTTAATTTGTTGTCTTTTCACTTTGAGAATGTTTGATATCGGCGAATGAAATTTTGAGGTAATTTTTGATTGGAAGACGACATTTAAAGTATAGTCCATCCCTTTGAATTAGAGAATTAGAGATAAATCCCCCTCCGTTGCGCCATCTCCTTCTGCTAACTTAACAAGGGTAATCCCCCTTATAAATAGTAGAATAGATATAAAGAATACATGTATAAATAGTAGAATAGATATAAAGAATACTTGTATAAATAGTAGAATAGATATAAAGAATAAACCAATACAGATGTTGTCAATACCATTAATGGATTAGGTCTCTTACGATAAAAACAGAAAAACATACAGTTTGTTTTCAAACCAATTACACAGTACAGATCCTTATATAAGTAAATACGGGTTGATACATAGTACATCAAATAAAAATATCTATCTCAAACAGAACCGTGGAAAATATCCTTTTTTGAAGCACCGTACTGACTGTTGTAAGTTGTACACATTAGCGGGTAAAAAGGGACGGTACTTGACACCAAATGAATCAATTCCTTCTGCACTGCGTTTCAAGTTATTATGTAAATAGTTTGTTAACTTTTAAAGGGAACGGAAGAAAAATTTTGAAAAATATTGTTTTTATAAAAATTGTCTCTTATGATTAAAAACATTTAATAAAGAAGTTAACATTTGAATAATGATTTTTGCTAAATAGACCCAAAAACTCAAAAATATGTAAAACAGGTGTTTCAAGTTTTTGTGCAGATGACTTTAAAATACTTATATTTGACAGAAAACTATATTTTTTTCAGATAAAAACGACAAATATAAAAAGTTTTATTTATAAAAATTATATTTCAACCAAAAAAAAGTACACAAAAGGTTTCTTAATCCTCAATATGAAATCACATTCCTTCCTAGCCTCCTGACCTCCTGATGACCTCTAGTAGTCTCTTGTTCATGGAATTGGTTAAATTTTTTATTTGTTCTGGTCTATCACTAGCTTCAGCTGTCTATGCAACAGCCCACACCTCTCTCTGTAAGTTATAATGCCTACCAGAGTGGTAAACTTTAATCTTCAGAATGGCCTTCAAGTTCCTTATGGGATTTAAACATAGATAAATAAATAAACATAGATAGCTTATGTACGCAAAATCACCAAGAATTGTACAGTCCGCGAACTTATACTTCTAGGGGTCAAAGTGTACTTCAATAATAAGCGGGGTGGTTTGGTGTTTTAATGGATTTCATAATAGAGTGTAAATATCTCCGGGAATGTTGAACAACAAGAGAATGAGATCACCCAATATTTCACTGATCAATATATCATATTGACGAGAACTGAAGAAGGACATGAGAAGGACTAAACTAACTTAAATTTCTCTCTACAGAACTCATGTACACCGCAAGTACTCAATGACATAAGAACAGCCAATGTTCACAACCGACCTAGTTAATCTATACAATAGGAATATATCTTTAAAACATCTCTGAGGCCGGTCCTTCTATGGATAGTGGACGTGTAGTTCACGTTTTGGGGGAGATAGATAGAGGGATAAAAGGGAGTGGGGGAAATAGACGGAGAAGGGAGGTGAGACGAGGAAGGGGAATAGAATGGAGGTGGGAATGAAATGAGGGAGTGATGAAGACAGGGGGTTAAAATAAGTGAGGGAAATAGGCGGGCAGATGGAGATGAGAGGAAGGAGGGATGAGTAGAAATGAGAAAAGAGGATGGAAGGAGTGAAATAGGAAAGGGGATTTATAGATTCTGAAATAATAGGAGATGGGTTGGAGAAAAAGATAGAGGAAAGAGGATGAGGGTTGAAAGATAGTGAGTGAGGAAGGCAGGGAAGTTATAGAGGGGAAGGACTGGAGTAATTGGAGAGATGAAGAAGGGATTATCGAAGTGAGGGAGGTAGGGAAAAAAATGGAAGAAAGAGAGTAAGGGAGTGAAATAGTGACGCAGGGAAGAAGAAGGGTGGGAAAGGATGTTGGACTGGGATGATGGAGTGAGGAAGGTTGGGGGATAGCGCAAATTATTTTATTCAGCTTGCATATTGCATACATTCACACGGACCAATGCAGTGTGTGTTTGCAAATTTTTCAAAATGGAAATTTGCATAAAATTGACTGCAGTAAATTTATCTTAAAATACTATTTGTGTGTTCAATGTATTCTTAAATACAGGTTCAGTCAAACCAAACTTTTTGGTATTAAAGAACTGATCTGGTCTCAACTGGTCCGAGCACCGCAGTTTACCTTTTTCATTGAAAATATAATTTATTCCAGAATTTTGTGCAATTATGCCTTTTATTTGACACCCTGTAAATCCTTGCAGTGTTTTGTCTGAAAGTATCCCCCTGTATCCAATACTTGCATTAGTCCAGTTTAATATTCAGTTCAGATAGCCGCAGATATATTCAGATATATCTGGGAATATACAGATATATTCAGATATATCTGGGAATATACAGATATATTAAGGTATATCTGGGAATATACAGATATATTCAGGTATATCTGGGAATATACAGATATATTCAGGTATATCTGGGAATATACAGATATATTCAGGTATATCTGGGAATATACAGATATATTCAGATATATCTGGGAATATACAGATATATTCAGATATATCTGGGAATATACAGATATATTCAGATATATCTGGGAATATACAGATATATCCAGATATATCTGGGAATAAACAGATATATTCAGGTATATCTGGGAATATACAGATATATCCAGGTATATCTAGGCAAGATAGACCCATATATATAACTGGGTATATCTAGAAAGATCCAGATAAACCCAGATATACCCTACTGTGATCTTGCCAGGCTACATTTGTTGCATAAAACGTGCTGGGTCGACTCTACACTGGATAGCCTGACTGGACAGTACGACAGCCGGATACAGAATGCTTCTTTAACAACTATTTCTTAACGTAAAAGTTAAAATATCCATGATTCAATCATGTGAAAAGGACAGAGTTTGCTCGAAAAATACATCCCGATCGTTAGTGCACCCCCCCCCCCCCGGCTCATCATGGCTAACAACTGGCTCAATCAATGAAACAATCAGAAAAATCCTTCAATACTTTCCTAAAATGATCATCCTAGGTTACAATTGAGTCTCATGAAGATGGAAATCAAACATACAAATGAAATGAAATAAAATGGGCCAATGCTGCAAAAATAAGAAATTTAAATTTTAAGATTGAAATAAAGGTTAAAATATTAATCAAGATATTGGGAATATTTTATCCAAAATGTGAAAAGACCACTCTAGTTCTGTTGTTAGAAGTTGCAGAAATGATGACAAAGAGACCAGGCTGGAACGAAGTCACCTAGCCTGTGCAAATATTAGTTATTCAACTATTCCTCTAGTTAAACATATTTCTATCTAGAACTAGGTATTCAACTATTCCTCTAGTTTAACATATTTCTATCTAGATCTAGTTATTCAACTATTCCTCTAGTTTAACACATTTCTATCTAGATCTAGTTATTCAACTATTCCTCTAGTTTAACATATTTCTATCTAGAAAGAAAGAATATTGACTTGAAAGAATTATTGAGGTGGGGGAAAGGGGAATTCTAGAAATTGGAAACAATATCTCTCCGCCTTCTAACTTTCTATCTTTCTATCTTTCTATCTTTTATCTTTCTATATTCTATTTTCTATTTTTCTATCTTTCTATTTTCTACTTTTCTAGATATATTTTTATCAGTCTTGTATCTTTCCAACTTTCTTTCTTTGAATTTTTCTGTCTTTTTAGCTTTTTCTTTCCCTATCTTTCCATCTTTTTATCTTACTATCTTACTACATTTCTATCTTTCTTTCTTTCTTTTTAATTTTTTTATTTTTCAATCTATTATTCTTTCTTACTTTCTATCGTACTATCTTTCTGTCTTTCTATCTTTCTACTGTCTTTCTGTCTTTCTATCTTTCTATTTTCTATCTTTCTAGCTCCCTTATATTATATCTTTCCATCTTTCTATCTTCTAACTTTTGTTTTGTAGCGTATCTTTC